ATTCTAATTCCATGAAAATTTCGGAAGCACAAAAGTTCCAGAAATTTAGAAAAACTACGAAAACTTCACAGAAGGACAGTGGTATTCAGAAACATTTCGAGAACGTCATAAGAAAAATTTGGGAATAGTCCATTTCATATTCAACGGAAATTTCGATGAAGCTATCCTCCGAGTTCAATTTTCTTTTAGTTTTTATCGTAATTACCTTGAAATTCTCCACAATAAAACACCCTTTGGAAAGATTATCAGAATATTCATTGAATTCATTTCAGATTTCCTTTTGAATCTCATTCCTTCCCTTGGAATTCTACTCACATTGAAAGTCTCATAAGAATTCATTGGCATTTCTACTCACAATTTCCTTAGATTTCTTCTCATATTTTGTTTGGAAAACTCTCCTGAATTTATTTTCCGAATTCCTTTGAAGATGTCCTGGAGTTATTCTCAGATTTAACTGTAATCCTTCTTTTAGTATTTTCAAACAAATTCCAAGGACTTATGCTCCGAATTTGTTTTCTCCCACACACTTTATGAAATTATTCTCAGAATGCCCTTGGAATTTTCCTTTGAAGTTCACAGGAGTTGCGCTCCTCAGAAATTCCTAAGAGTTTTCAATAAAATTTATTTTTATTTTCAATTCAGGGTCACAATTTTTACAACTATCAGTCACTATTTAGTCACTTATTTCTTCAACATGGTCACTAAAATCACTATTTTTGATAGCCATCACACCAGCCCTGAAATTGGAGAAAAGGAGATTTTTAACGATGGGTCCAAAGTTTAGAACCATAGACCAACATTAGAGCCATTTCCCCTATATGTTAGCATCTCAAAACAATCAAAAACCTTCTGGAAAGTAAAGGGTTCTGGCCAATTTCTTCACCTTCACTTCTTAAGCCTTAAACTAGGCTTAACTATATGGGTAAGCTTGGGTTAAGATTTAAGCGAAGGTGAAGAAATCGGCCCTTAATGTTTACTTCAGGATTCCCTTGCTGTTGAAATTCTCCTAGGTTTCTCAAAGTATTGTCCCAAAAATTACTTTAGGATTCACATCAGACTGCCCCGGGATTGTTTCTCTCTAAATAATGCTATAAAGTCTCCTAGGAATTCAGTTGAAATTCAGCCAAGATTTTTTTAAGCTATCTTCAGAATAAGATTTCCTTGGAATTATTGATTGGAGTTCTCCTCATAATTGTCTTTAATTGATTGATTGGTTGTCATTTAAGACGTTTTTAAGCGTATGCTCGTTTCTGGAAAAGAACTAGAAAGTATCAAAAGGGATCCTCCTTGGCCTAGCATAACAGTTCGGTGGTTTTTGACAGATTTCCTGTAATTATTCACAGACATTCGGTGAAAAATTACAGGAAATCTGTGAAAAATCACCGAACTGTTTACCGAACGTTCAGCTGTTGAGATTTCGGTGAAATTTCACATACATATTTCGGTGAAATAATCTTAGTGTGTAACTATGAACATTTATAATTTGATCCTTAGGGACAATGTCAGGGCTGTAGCGATCATTAATTTTGTTATAGGATTAATTATCTGTGGATTCACATCCAAATTCCCTTAAAGAAAGATTTTTTTTTAATTCCGGGGAAGTTCGAGATTAGGGCGTAATTGCTTTTGTGAACAAACACTTCATTAGACGATTTCTCGTGAATTAAAGCTCAATCTCAAAACTAACAACACAAATAGGTAGATGAATGGTTCCTCTATCATTTGGTATGGTTTGTTCGCGAGATTTTTCTTTTATTCACGAGAAAACAACATGTTTGTTTACAAAAGCAATTACGCCCAAATCTCAAAGTTCTCCGGAATTTGCTTTAGATTTCTCTGAAATGCTCCTCTCAATGGGGCATTGAAGGGGGCCTCCGAATTCACTTCTCATTTTCCCAACAATTTTCTTATAACACTAATTATAATACTATAATAATACTAATTGTAATATTTCTAACGAATTCCTTTAGAATTCCCATCAGAATTCCTTGATAATTATCCCTAAGTTTCCTCTCTAATTCTCCATAAAACTTATTTTGCATTCCGTACACAATTCTTCAAAATGTCAGAATCCTAAAATGTTATACTAGCTTTGTGTTTTTTTTTAAGGTCTTGAAATTTTAAATTTTTCATTTTATGGAATCTCGAAAAGTTAAAGAATGTGAAAAACTAATCTAATTTATAAATCCAGAAAAATTTCTCATGCCATCTTTAAAAAAAATCTCAGTTCGAGATCTCAATATTATTCCGTTGATCTCATTGTATTTAAATTAAATTTTCAATATCAATATATCGCTTTATAACATTCGGTCCAAGGACCCACATAGCCCGGTAGCGTTCGACACAGTGCCTTTCGAAAAACTCCAAAATTCTGAGACTCCCAAGTCTTTTTTTTATACTAAATTATAGAACATGATTTTACAATTGGGTTGTTTAACTTCGAAAAATACACCGATTTTTACACATCATCTGATAGGGCTTCGCTTTCTGAGCACAACCATATTTTTATCGATCCTGTAGACATTCATCTCGATTTTTAAATCAAGATTTAAATTTTTGATCATTGACACTAAATCTATTCGTTGACAGCTCACTCCCATACAAAGTCCCACCAAGGGGCGCTAAAATGGTGATTTTTGCTAATGTAATCGTACTTATTTAAAATAGTTCCAGTGTACCAAAATTGATGAAATTTTGGATTTCAGTTGCATTTTTAATGCAGATAACGAATATCTATTTACCTCAATACCCCTAAACAATACGACGGCGCCGACTGGGATTGAACCCAGGCCTGCTGAGGTGAGAGGTCATCACGCCCACCACTACACCACCGGCGCTGCTGTCAGGTTTACTCGATCCTAATTAATCATATTGACGAGCAGTTTTGGGACGACGTTTCCTACCACTGATCTTCCTAAAACAGCTCGACAATAAGGTCAATTCTATACAGAGCTGGAAAAAGGGCCTATCTGCTTTGATCGACTCTCTTCATCGACTTTCTCTTTCGGTTAAAACTCAGCTGCAACAACATTCCCCGTTGTTTTTAACGATTTGGACGATAGATAAAAATCTCCTTTATCATGCTATGTGGCAAAAATAGCACGAACACTGCCGTGGTTACCAAAAAAAAAGTCGATGAAGATAATCGATCAAAGCATATAGGCCCTTTTCTCAGTTTTGTATAGAATTGTACAAAAGACACGTTTTTTTTCCTCTGTTCGGGACCTAACACTACTGCGACCAGTAAATTGATCTATTGTAGTATATCCCGTGTCCTTAGTTTAGTGCACGTCGTATTACTCCATCGCTATTGAGAAATGATGAAGTATTCGATTTTTTTACAGTTGCCACTCTTGCATTTATCGCAAGGATCCGACTCTAATTGAAAGGTCCCGCTATTTATACCCTTCGGAGTGTTGAAACACCCTCCAAAGGCGCGCCCCTTTGGCAATCAAAATTGGATTCCTTAGCAACAAAATTAAGGTATGACACCGATAATGACCATGCATCAGAACCCTAGTCTTAACCACTTCAAACTAGGGAACAACGAAGAGAAGATTAGGAATCACATAGATGAAGACAACTAACTCATTTTTTTCCTTCTTTCAAGATCATCCTCGGTAGACAAGGCCGAGTCTTGTCACTATCAACAAGGCATAAAAAGTAACAAGGACTAAGATGTGTTCCTTGGATTACTGAAAAATCCTGTTCCCCTAGTTTGAAGTAGTCAGGACTAGGAATCGGTGGTAGATCTTACATCCCGTAACGTACCACGAAAAGGTGATCTACCCACATTACGAGGCAAAGACACGTTAGAGAAAAATCGAATTGCCACCCGGTGGATCATATTGCCGGAATCTTACAATAAATCCCTTCGACGTTGATCATAATATCAACCCTGATTTACATCACCCATTTTTGGATGAGTTCGATTTTACCGAATCCAATGTCTGTGATCTTCTGTCTGTGAACTACAGATTTAATTTTTTGACTGCCAATAGGAAGTTAGTTCCAATCAAAAGTTTCAATTGTTGTTGGTAGCACTGCACGTGCTCCCAGACCAGACGACCATTAGTAGCAATTTAGTTTCCTCCTCGTCGTGGTTTGTGTTTATATTGCTGATGATAATTTAGTCCCAGACAAACAGACATAACACTTGGATGTTTTTCGTCGAACACGCATGTAACGTTATTTTTTTTTGTTAGCACCACCACCTGTGGCGCGAATAGTAAATTCCATTGTGTTTGACATTTACACACTACCGTCATCTGTTGAGCGTACTGTCGTGACTTATTGACATGTTGGTTAGACTACATGTAACTTTGTTTAACAATTATCGACTGGCCAGTTTTTAACAGTGAAAAGTATTCAACGTGTTATGTCTGCTTATCTGTGATTTAGCCTTCTAAATTGAAAAATGTGTGAACCAAATCGTTCAAATTGGTGTTTGCTATACAGTTGCTATTCGCATAACAGTCCCATGTCCTGTTGATTTCCTACCATCGTTTGCTGTTATGCGAATAGCGGCAGATATTGGTGGTTATATGCGGTTTACTGTCTTCGAAGATATTTTGTAGAATGAGTTATTAATTCATAAAAAAACGAGTAAGTTCCTTCAGTGTTAGTACATACCGCGATATTTACTAATATATAACTGAAGAAACCCTCGTGAATAGCCCCCATCATCAAGCGATAAGCGACAGTTTATGACTACCAATGTGTTAAGATGACGAAGACCGTCTGTTATGACGATGTCGCGCTCACGATGAAGTCACACACGAAAACGGCCATCCAAGGAGTAATTTCAAACGATCACTGCTTTCATGATCCAAACGTGATAAATTTAAATCGATGATGTAAGCGGCAACTTTCACACCGCTGTGGTGGTGGTGGTGGTGATCTCTGCTGAGGCTAACTTTCTGGAAATATGCTAATCACTGTTTGTCGTTTCATGAATTTTAACGAATTCTCTTTTCCCACCCCTCTTCCCCTCCTCTCAGACTGGACCGCAAGACGAAAGAAGCCGCTGACAACGAACGAAGCGCTCGTAGCCAGGAAGCTCGCGCCAACGAACTCTCCGGCAAGTACAACACAGTCCTGTCCGAACGCAAGAGGGCCCAGGACGAACTTAAGGAGCTGGAAAAGGAAGTTGCCCGCCTCAAGAAACAGCTGGAAACGCTCCGGAAGAATCTGGAGGAAGAAACGTTGGCTCGGGTGGACTTGGAAAATACCGTCCAAAGTTTACGCGAAGAGCTTACCTTCAAGGATCAGGTCCACCAACAGGAGCTGACCGAAACCAAGACCCGCCGACAGGTCGAAATCAGCGAAATCGATGGCATTCTCTCGGAGCAGTACGAAGCCAAGCTGCAGCAGACGCTACAGGAACTGCGCGATCAGTACGACGGACAAATGCGCGCCAATCGGGATGAGATTTCCGAGTTGTATGAAGTAAGAAAATGCATTTCGATCTATTTCTATCAGCGTGTTACTAATGAGTGACTTTCCCATTTTAGGCTCGCCTCCGCGATCTGGAGCTGCAGTTGAATGCCGAACGACAGCGTCACGCCGTAGAGAAGAGCAAACTGCAGGACGAAATCGAACGTCTGCGCAACCAGATTTCCCTTCAACTGCAGGAGTACCAAGATCTGATGGACATCAAAATCACCCTGGACATGGAAATTGCCGCCTACGACAAGCTGCTTTCCTCCGAGGAAGTCCGGCTAAACATCACCCCGGGCAGTCAATCGGCTATCTTCCAGACCTCGTCCACTAGCTCCAGTGCCGGACGATCGGGGGCGATGCGACGTACTCCGCAGCGGACAGCTGCCAAGCGCAAGCGTACCGTCCTGGAGGAGTCGGACGAGCGTAGCGTGTCGGACTACTCGGTCACTTCGTCCGCCAAGGGAGACATCGAGATCTCCGAAGTCGATCCGGAGGGCAAGTTCGTCAAACTGCACAACAAATCTGCTAAGGTATTTAATTTGTTTGACGAAAATCAATAAGCGATGTTACGATTCAATCATTTCAGGAAGTACAAGTCGGAGGCTGGACCCTGGTCCGCAAGGTGGGCACCAACGAAACCGTGTTCAAGTTCCACCGAACGCTGAAGATCGATGGCGGTGCCTTCGTGACGGTGTGGTCTTCGGACCTCGGCCAGAATCACGAACCCCCGAGCACGATCGTCATGAAGGGCCAGAAGTGGTTCGCCGGCGATAACATGACCACTCAGCTGGTGAACGGAGACGGAGAGGTAGGAGATCGCGCATTGTTGTTTTAAATTAATCCGGCGTTGGTTGATTGTGTATTGTTTCATTGTTTCGTCCGTTTAGGAAGTAGCCGCGTCGGAACGTGTCAAGCGTATTATGTCCACTGCCGCATCACGCCACCGCGAGTACCTCGGTTCTTACGGCGCAGAAGAGCTGTATCACCAACAGGTATGAATTGCACTCAAATTTCACATTAGTTTAAGTTCTTTGTAAGTTTGATAAAAATCTCAAAATTGTGTTACTTGACCAAGAAATGCACCTTATATCGGTGAATCCTGTTTTTCGAGGATAATACCGGTGGAACTTACCAGCATTAGAATGCTCTCATTAGGTGGCTCTAGTGAGCAAATTGATTTCTTGTTCATTGTCTTAACTTGATGTCCCCACTAGATCGGATTTTACTGCCTTCTGCTATGAGATGTTCAATTTGCCAGGACCTGTTGAGTTGAAGGCAGTTGTATTCAGGTTGTGCTAGGGTGCTATTCATTTTATTACACTACATTTTATGATTGCACGGAAGGTTGATTTTTTCAACAAACTCGTGCAGGTACATAAAGCTTTTTGAATGGTGGGCAGACTGCCAAATAGACTGAAATGGCATATTTTGTTCGACAATTTTGTTCAATTGAGGCTAGAATTGATTCGTAATGTGCAAAGTTATACCTACGATTTTGTGTATCTGAGTTGGGGACGAACTAAATAGGATGAGAATCAAATTTTGTTTTAGACATTGCTTACGAGAACTTGAGAATTTGTCTGGAAACATTTTTAGAATTTGATGAGAGAATTGAACACCTATTCAATATGAAAAAAGACAGTAAGAGAATCACTAACACACATTTACCATTCGCTTTTCTTTTTTTCTTACAGGGGGAACCTAAAGGCGAAGAGAAGTGCCGTATCATGTGAAGCTAAAAGAAAAGAACCTAGCAGCATGAGCCGTGAAATTCGCCTATAGCAGTTTAGTTTTCCGTATAAAAGTCGGAAAATCGTTACACACTCTACTTACAATAGGAACTACAACAGTAGACACCAAGAAATACTTTTTTTCTTATCCGTGTTAGTGCGATAATACCCTCCATCCTATGGCGGACGAACAATAGTACAGTAAAACAAAATATAAACCCATTTCTACCATTTATTACATGCCTACAAACAAACAGACACCTTTAATTGAAACACTTATGTTCGTGTTGGAAAAACAAGTTGACACGAATATCTACTTAATACGAATGTTGTCCTTGGTAATAAGAAAAAAAAATAAACGAGAACAGAAAATTTGCACAACTAATACCTTACTGTTAGTACTAAAACACTTATGAGGAACGATTCAAAAACAGCAACAAAACACCGCATTGAAACGTTAGAATTTGGACATTGAAAGCACTTAAAATAAAGATCTATATCATTCATATAAAACCAATACAAGAAAAAAAAGATGAGTAAGAAACTAAATGCCATAATTGTAAGGAGAAAGTAGACAAAACCGCCGTTTGATTTTCCTTTAAGTTTTACAATTTTATTTTCGTCGAATATTTCGATCATCATCCATCAAGACAGAATAACGTAACCAACGTATTGCACTGAAAGTAACATCGGTGGCTATTTATGCTAACTTTTAAGGAATGTCCTATCATTTGTCATTGTTTTGTTCATTTTATGTAACGTAACGTAATCAAAACTCGTAAGAAATGTCCACTTTTTTTTTGTTCTTCGAATCGGTGTCCTTGGTCAAGCTGGTAAGCCACGTTGGAGAAACGTTTCAGGAACGTTGAACATAAACAGAATGCTGCATTTTTTGACTTTCCTGTTTTTTTTTCCTAACAATTGTAAAGAAGAGAGTTAAAAGAAAATATATATTTTTAAATGCTAAGGAGTATAAACCGTTCAATCGTATAATAGCTTCCGATAAAATATATGTCCTACAAAAGTTGTTGCGACGTAGGTAACCCAAAAGAAGAACAATCGTTTAGTTTGTAGTCATCAAAGCCACCATCATGAATCGAGCATAAATGATAATTTTCCATTTCGGTTGAGAGGTTTTTTTTTTTTGAATCGGATAAATTAACACTTACAATTAAATTTATATCTGTTGCCTGATATTTTTTGTACTGTCATAAACATGAATCATTCAATCATTAAGAAGAGAATTTTAAAATAAACACTCAGAAAAACAGCAGCGTTCAGAGATTTAGTCGATCCGAAACGACCATTAAATTGTTAACGTTTGAAATCCCAGGAAACTCGTTGAATTTTGTTTAACGTGATTTAACTGAATGCAGCAATGACCCGATTTTGTCAGCCCCCTCTTTGAAAATATTTTCTAGTACTCTATGAAACCTATGCGCTTTTTCTGTGATCTTATTGCATCAAAGTATAGCTTAACCATCAATCTTGAAGATGAATGAGAAAGATTTAGGTGAAATTATCGAATGATAGAAGTCTGATGCGTGGAGGGGCCGACAAAATAAGTAGTCTTTGTTAATGAATTCACTGAGATAAACTGCCCATAAAAGCATAATTGTTCCATCTTTGCTTGATTTCCTATTCATATGGGACAGTTATGCTTTTACGGGCATTAAAATCCTCATGCAAAACGAGATATTCCTTAGTACCGTGTGGAGCCCGTTAACCGCTCATTTTGTCAAAGTTTGTTCAAAAATTCACTCGTGTAAAATGCCTGCTGAACGTATTTAATCATCGGTACTATTATTTCACTGCTTATTGTCGAAAAAATACTTTTGTTGACATTAAAATACTGAGGCTTAGAATTTCATAGGCACGACTTATGAAAGATTTTCGTCTAACATAAGGTAGCTCTTCTACGTCATTAGCCATTCGATTTTCCCAAGCGTTGACAGACGCAAGACTCGTAATCTCAACGTCCGTGGTTCGGTTCCAGTCTGTTCAGTTTTATTATTTTTCATAAGGCAAATCTTTGAAATTCACGATTTCTTGTTGCTAAAACTTATAAGTGGTTCTTATGGAATTCTTACGTTCTTCTGCCTCAGTGTATAAGCGGTGAATGGAGACCCAACAACGATCAAGCGGTTTCTTCTCCGCTCACTCCACAAATACACTGGAGTCGCTTTTTACGCGGTTTTTTTTTACACGGTTTTTTTTACGCGGATTTCGGAATTTACGCGGTTTTTTTTTTCGCGGATTCCGGAATTTACGCGGTTTTTTTTTACGCGGATTTTGGTTTTTTTTTACGCGGATTTCAGAATTTACGCCGTATATCGCTTTTTACGCGGTTTTTTCTTACACGGTCTTTTTTTTACTCGGTTTTTTTTTACGCGGATTTCGAAATTTACGCGGTTTTTTTTTACGCGGATTCCGGAATTTACGCGGTTTTTTTTTACGCGGGACGTATCACCCGCGTAAAAAGCGACTCCAGTGTAAACTTAAAATAGACATTACTACCAATATTCCATAAGAAAGGCGAGTGTTTAATCAACATCTAATAGGGGAAATGACTATAATGTTGGCCTATGAACCTCAGATTGGGCCCATCGCTAAACATCTGCTATTTATCAATTTTATCTAGATGAACGCGTCATTGGGACGGTACTAAAGGATATTTTTGGTCGCTATTGAAAATTTAGTCGATTACTGAATTTATGTATGGGCTCAAATTAGAGACAGTAATATATACAATAATATACAAACCATATAATTCGTTAAATGGCCAGAAAAGATCGACGATTCATAAAATAAATAGGGGAATTTACGTATTCTCGGCAACCTAAGCAGCGACCTTCTTTCTATAACCTTTTTCTCTATGGAACGCACACATATGCAGTATTGGTTTGTTTACAATATTTTGCTGCCAGCTGCTCTAACAATTTCAGTCGAAAGAATTGTCAAAAACTGTTTTGAAACGCTTTTACAAAGCTCCAATCTTCTCTAGTGAGAGCGAGTATTGTCGGCAACCATTTTTTCTTCGGCAACCGTTCCATTTGAACTGCATGTAAATCTGCTGTTCTATTATCGGCAACTCGAAATCAGCTACAATTTGTAGTGCGTGTGTTTCATTTCAAGAAAACCCTGCTAGATTGCTTTTTCTCAGTGGTAAAAATATAGTCAAATTGAAGCTGAAAGCATAAAGAATCGTTTGCATGCATTCAGCGAAGTGTTTTCGTAAGAAAATCCAGTGAAAATAGTGTTTCAATTTGGGTTGCCGAAAATAGTCTGTCATGCCGAAGCCGTCATTTCCCCTATTTCCGCTACACTTAATTGTATCAGCATTGTTTTAGGTGTTTTATATTTTATCCACAATCTTTTGAAAATGACCTGCAAGCTAGTGCAAAAATATGCTCAATATATTTATGAAAAGTAATTTTACTAACGATGTGAACTTGATTGTCACGTCCCTCGGACGGTACGCACCTACCTTAACAACACCTTGTCTTCATCGACCGTTGGCATCAATGAGCTGGATTACCGAGGTGAAGCAATCACTCACACAACCACTGTACGATACACGCAAGTACACACAAGTAGTGACGTCACTACTTGCGTTTACGTTGATTTTTTGGTTTACTAATACAACCCTATTTCACGATCTGCGCCACCTCTCTCTGTACCTCATTGCGTTGGCATGACTGGCGGTAGGGTCGATGAAAGGCAATTTGACAGGGAGAGAGAACAAGAAAACTGCTGATTCATGCAAAGGCCACGGTATCGTAGTAAGGCAATAATTTAATCTAGTGCATTTAGATGTTTTTTGAGCTTAGTCAGTTACAATTATAAGCAGTTACGATTAAAAGTGGTTAGTTGTGAAGTGATGGATTATTAGTTGCATACGATTCATAAATTCCTATTATTATTTATCCTACAGTTGGTTTATTGATTATTCTAGAATTGGTTACCCTAGAATTTATTACCCTACAATTGGTTATCCTACAAGTTGTTTATTCTATAATTTAGTAATACTAGTTTGAACAAAGGTAAGAATTGAATCCTAAACTAACTAAACGAATTAGTAAAAAGCTTATCCTAAAATGTATACCTATTCATGCAGCTTAACCTAAATTGGGAGATCTGGCTCAGTGGAATCGTGGTAAAGGAGGTTAGGAGGCACTAAACGTAAGCAAATTTATATACCCGTATTCTAAAAACTAATTAATTCTTTATTAAAGGAAATTTTAACCAACCTAAAATTCCTGTGGTGGTTCATTGTTTCGGAAATCTCCCTCCAGTTGGCTCGGCCAACATTGATTTTTCTCTAAAGCGAGCGTTGAGTATTTGAGTACCGTGGGCCACCGTTGATCTGTACGACATTACGTGCATATTAAAGGGGTTAATTTTTAATTTGAACTTTCTAGTAACCCTACGACCATTTTAAAAACGAGTTTTTGGTAGCCTTAATGAGTCACACGCTTACTCGAAAGTACACATTTAATGAGTACCATTACCATTCAAAATTCTTGTTTTCTCCATATATTTTCGGGAGGAGGACTATATTAGAACGTTTTTACTTATGGTTTGAGAACATTAATGGTTATGGTTATGATAGTCAGTAAGGTCCATTAATGGTTTTGTATTATAGCTCAACTTTACGTGGAATATATCGTGAATTGGTAATCAGTAATTTACAGGCAACCAATTCGCGATATATTCCACATAAAGTTGATCGATGTTACAAAACTATTCATGGACCTTACTGACTACCATAACCATTAGACCTGTTCATTTTAAACGAAATGTTCGGAATGTAACGGGTCAACCGTGATTACTGTTCGTCATGTTAATTTGAACTGTTGTGCAAATTTTCAGCAAAATCGGTGTTGATTTAGAGGTGCTTCTAGTTAATTTTATGTTTTCAAGGTAATTTACGGCTTATAATATTTGTATCTCGAGACTGAAACAACGAAAGCTGCTGTAACAACTTTCATAGCAAAGCTTAATGTGTTATCTACCAACTTTGTGGTCAAAGGTTGACTATTCGAAGTGATTTTATTGAATTTTCACTTAGTTTCATGCTCGAAGATATCTTAAAATGTGAAGAATTTTAAAGTATTTGTTCTACGAATTTTCCACCCATATGATATAAAAATGTGTAGTGTACGGCATAATGTTCCTCATATTGTTCTAGAAGTTTCGTTCCAACATAGTTTTCGTGTATATTTCATAGATTGAGAGATAAAAATCAGAAAAGAGGCCGTTTAGCTAAAATTCACAAGACAACAGAACCAATAAAAGTCAATTAGATTGACAGAACATAGTTGCATTGCTTTTCAATGACGACCGATGACTGTTTCATTGATATATGATTTTTTCATAAATATGAATCCTCAGTAGACGTGTTTTTTTTTATCAAAGGCAAGTGTCACTCGAACCATAACAGCAATTTATATTGGTTTGTTTTTTTTTTCCGTCGATCTTGTTTTCCGTGCTGAGCACCAATGCTACCGGCGTGCCAGGAAGGCAGCTCCCACACCTGGACCCTACCTATCGACCCATCAACTCATGAACCGGGGACCAACGGCTTTACTTCCCATCCGAAGGAAGGCGTGATCAGAGATGTTATGCCTCTGAACATCCCGGCGGCGCCGACTGGGATTGAACCCAGGCCTGCTGGGGTGAGAGGTAATCACGCTTACCACTACACAACAGCAATTTATAAAATAACGAACATTTTGAATGGCTCGAGTGACACTTGCCTTTGATAAAAAAAAAACACGTCTACTGAGGATTCATATTTATGAAAAAAACATATATCAATGAAACAGCCATCGGTCGTCATTGAAAAGCAATGCAACTATGTTCTGTCAATCTAATTGACTTTTATTGGTTCTGTTGTCTTGTGAATTTTAGCTAAACGGCCTCTTTTCTGATTTTTATTTCTCAGTCTATGAAATATACACGAAAACTATGTTTGAACGAAACTTCTAGAACAATATGAGGAACATTATGCCGTAGACTACACATTTTATATCATATGGGTGGAAAATTTGTAGAACAAATACTTTAAAATTCTTCACTTTTTAAGATATCTTCGAGCATGAAACTAAGTCAAACTTCAATAAAATCACTTCGAATAGTCAACCTTTGGTTACAAAGTTGATACATGACACATTAAACTTTGCTATGAAAGTTGTTACAGCAGCTTTCGTTGTTTCAGTCTCGAGATACAAATATTATAAGCCGTAAATTACCTTGAAAACATAAAAT